GGCTGGCAGGTGACTGGTGGGTAGGGGCACTGGACTCCCACAAGGCCAACCACAGTTTGAGTCCTGAATCCGGCAACTTGCTGCTATCCACTTTCTCTCTCTCTCTCTCTCTCTCTCTCTCTCCCCTTTCCACCTTTCTGGTCAAATTGAAGTGGATGTATGTATGGATGGATGGACAGATAGATAATATAGATAGTTAAATAAATAAATAGAAAAACTATTTATAGAGTTCAAAAATTTTTTGCATCAAAATAAATTTGTATTTTAATTCCATTTTCCAAAAAGTTTTAAAAAATAATAATTTTATCTCATTTTATTTATTAATATTACTTTTCAATTTGCCCAGAGACAGACAGAGAAATAAAGGGAAAGTAAGAAAGCAAAGTGCAAGGTCTGGTACTCAAACCGTAGTCAGTCATGTGGGACTCCAGTGTCCCAACAAACATACCACCTGCCAGTCCCATCCAGAAACTTTTTGAGGTCCCCCTGTATGTTTATAGTTACTTAAGAATCTCCTAGAGATGGAATATGTTATCTTCTCAAATCTAAATTTACTGACAAAATAAGACCAAATGGAGAGATATGGTTTCATCAATGAAAATGTTGACAGATTACTGACAGAGGAATGGGTAGGACAGACAAGAATTTTCCTTTGTAAATTCAAGAATAGCTATTTCATTCAAACTTATTTCTGTTAACGGAAGTCTGAAGCCCAGCAATCCACCTACCATATCACCTGCCAAGGTAGACTTCCTTAAGAACTAACCAGGATTAACCTTCATGGAAACATACTTACCATTGCCAGCAGTTTCTGAGGCTTCAGAGGCAGTAGAAATATTATCTGAAAATTTCTCCTCTGTAGTAGTCACATAACTGAGACTGCCTCCAATTCTATCTTCACCCTGCTCCACTGGATGTACTGCTGTTCCGAATGAGTATTTTCCTCCATTCAAAACAGATGATGGCTCAATTACAACAGGGTTGGCATCCTAAAATTATGAAGTCAGAGAATATAAAGCAAAATGTAATAATGTGATACTTATGTAGCCTTCAAAAATGAATAATGCAAGTACCTATTGTTTTTATCCTCCTGTGGTTGACTATTACTATTTAAAAACATTTAAATATGTAACTAAATTTTCATCTCTTTAAAGGAAATGAGTATATATATATATAT